TAACGCGATTCTCTTTACACAGCACCAGTCGTATTTCAAGGACCAAGACGATTAACTGTCAGGGTTGTTCAAAAAGTTTTGCCTCCTCTCCAAATTACTTCTAAACTATTCAAGATATCTTCGTGAAATTTGTACACAATTGACTTTCAATATATGTATACTCTAAAACGAAACAAAAACTGAATTATGCTATGATGTCACACCTTTATGCTATTGCTGTTTACATCAAGGAAGCTAGGTTACATTGTCGCCGAGAAAATGACGTCCAGCAAACCTATGAATGTGCGCTTAGAGAAAAGAACTGTTGTTGAGTTTCTTACTGCAGAGGGAGCTGCACACATTAGTATTCATAGGCGAATGAAGCTTGTCTATGGTGAAGCAAGTGTAGATGTAAGTACTGTTCGAAGATGGGCAAAGGAGTTTGTTGAAACCAGTCCAGCAGAGACAGATTTGTATGACCAAGCTCGTCGTGGTCGTCCCAACTCTGCCAGTGATGTTCAACACCAGGAGAGAGTGGATGAGATCATCCAAGCAAACCGACGGGTCAAAGTAGGAGATGTCAGTGAAATGCTAGGGATTTCTGTAGGGAGTACTCAGAATATTATCCATGATGTGTTGGGTTACAGGAAAGTGTGTACACGGTGGGTTCCCCACTTGTTGTCACCCGAGCTGGAATTGAACCGAAGTCAAGTTAGTGACGAACTCCTGGCTCGTTATACAGATGAAGGTGAAGCTTTCTTACGTAGTATAGTCACAGGAGACGAGACTTGAGTACACCATTATGACCCAGAGAACAGAAGACAATCGAAAGAATACAGGCACACTGGTTCACCTAGCCCCAAGAAGTTCAAAGTTGTTTCATCTGCAAAGAAAGTACTTATGACAGTGTTTTGGGACTGCAATGGTCTGATTCATGTGGGATTTTTGGAACATGGTTCCTTTATAAACTCTGAACGATATAATAAGACCCTGAGAAAACTTACAGCGCGGCTGTCACAAGTTCGGCAAGGAAAAAAATGCTATTTTTGTACCACGACAACGCCCAACCACACATGAGTGGACAAACTCAATTTGCCATGAAAAGTCTCAGATTTCAGGAGACCTTACTGCACACAGTCCAGACCTTGCTCCATCTGACTTTTATCTTTTTCTTAAGTTGAAGGAGTACTTCAAAAGGAAAAAGTTAATCAGATGACGATGTAGTTCAAGAAGATGTGAGTCGCTGGTTCAGAGGAAAACCACATGAATTTTTCACCAGCTGTATGCGACAACCTATTCGACGTTGACGAATCTGCATGGACAAAGAAGGCGACTATGTTGAATAGTAAAGCAGACATCCTACGCTTTCATTTCGTGTATAACTTTTGTATGTAGCATCAGAAATAAAGAAATTATGAACTTGGAGGCAAAACTTTTTGAACAATTCGTGTAGTTAATTTAATTGTTGTTAATATCATAAGAAAAAAAACAAAACAAGGACAGTTTGAATCTGCCAGACATTGTTATAAAAGATCATAACATTAAGTTTGAATCTGCCAGACATTGTTATAAAAGATCATAACATTAAGTAATAAAGAAATCGTACAGCAGAACTGTGTGTCGCCACAATAGTTCCACTTCTTAAGTTGAACAAAGGAAATTTACTCGCATAGCACAAGTAATTATTTGTCTAGAAATTCTGTAAACTAATATGCGTCACGGCTTGTTGGAATCAGGCGCTCGTCAATTTTTGGACATATGGAGTTATTGATATATAATCTTGAAACTTGTTTATGTGTCTTTCTTTCGGTGAAAAAAATGCCCACCTATCTTGAATAGAAGTCGAGATAGTGTGATATTGAAGGAGTTGGGGTCACTGTTTTCAAGGGTCAAATTTGCAAGAAAATGGCCCCCAAAGTTTGGTAACTTCTTTAGCTTGAGAGCCCTTGAAAACTGAAAATTTATTATTTTGCGCCATTAACCATTTTTTTCAGTAAACTTCATATGGGAATGTGTTTTTTTATGTAGACATAATTGGTGCTGAGCCCAAAAAAACAAAAATTGGACTAACAATTGCCAAACTGCAGGAAAAATGCCTGTTTCTTCGATTTCATTATTTTGACGAGTGCCTGATTTCACCATGATGTTGACAAGGGAAAACGTGCTAGACTAGACTAACTACGACACTATAACCATCTTCGCGACTGGACAGCAAACTACATGTACACGAGTTCGATCGGGAACATCTTGCCGCTTTAAGTCATTTTATTAAATGATTTTCCTAGTTCTTGTTTGTTGATTTTTAATTTTCTTTTCTTCGTTCTCAACCAACCCCACTTCCATCACCACCATCCCTAACCCTTTTCCTTTTTCCCCTTTCGTTTTTTTGTTTTTGTTTTTTTGTTGTTGTTTTTTTGTATTCGTGTTAATTCGTGTCATCTTTGAACAATCTCAACAATTTTCGTTCCATAAATTTAGCCTGTACCAGTAACACTCTGTACCTCCTCTTTTCCTCCCCAAACAAAGCTGTGTACACACACACACACACACACACACACACACACACACACACACACACACACACGCACGCACCCAAAGCAGTCGGCGATAAAACAAACCTCGCGTCGCCTAGTGACGTGGCACACCACGCGCTAAGCGGCAAAGCGGACCAGACACGCGTGGACAAAAGCCCAAACAGGAGTTGCAATTATGTTTTTAGTAGAGGATCTTTCGTGCAACTGACTTATAGAATCTACTAAAATATCCCTTTAAGAGGTGAATCAATCTCACCCAATACTTTGTGCTTAGAATATAACTATCAAGTGTTTACAAAAATGTTGATCTGCTAAAAGACAAATTGATCCAAGTCGTTTTGTAAAAGCTGGAGAGAATAATATGTTCGACAGCTAAGGAAATATTTGACAAAATGCAGCATAATGAAATTTTGTCATATTGAGGCAAGACTAAAAACAACAATGTTTTTTTTTAAAAATAATATAAAGGTACAACCAACATAGGTCATGCAGAATATGGTAGTGCTCACAGTACTTTCCACACACGTATGCGGCTCACGTCAGAGGAGACCAATCACACGTTCCAGAGGTACAATTTTAGCCCACACATAATCACGATCTCCTAATAAATGACAAGTCCAATTGTTTCAACTGATCTCTCTAAATTTAAAAAAAAAAACTTCCAATAATCCAATAAATGTATTTTGCCTAAACAGTATTGTTATCGGTTTCCAAATTCCTTTATTTTAACAGGTCACCTCGAGATCAGACACTCTCTCTTTGTCTTGATATCCTTGCAACGGTCTCCAGTCGAGTCGCTTGGGGAACAGGCAGCGATTTTGCTGTTACATGCTACACCAACCACCTCTGGAAGAAGATTTTGAGTACAGAAAAATAAAGAAACAGGAGTAGAAAGGGAAGAAGGAAGAAATAAATTTTAATATACAGTTGCGTTAAGGGCAACGGTTTGATTAGGTGCTTTTCCTAACTAAAGTTGCTCCTGTATCTATAATTATTGAAGGCTGGGTGCTCTCATGCAGGCCAGTAATTCCAATTTCCCACTTTAAGTAAGCAAATATTTGTAACAACTGTCCAGGCTGATGAACAGTTCTTTTCCTTTGATCTTAAGATTATTGTGCTTTACATAAAATATATGCCCTTTTTTCTTGAAAGTTCAGTTTTATGTCACACTAATTTTTATTTTCGCGACTAGTTTTCAGTTCTTCTAAATAAATACGTTAAAACATAAATAATGGAGTTAGTACTAGATAGCACGAGGATCACTGTACCTTTGTTAAAAGTTCAAAATGTGCACAAACCTGAGCATGAAATGGACATAATACCCTGCTTGGGTCTTTGTTGACATTCTTTTACTATTGATAAGTGAGAATTTGCATTAAATTTCAATATAATATGACCCCTTTAAAGCCACTCAAAGTCCTTAAGAACACATTGTTATTATCAAATATTTGCGGAAGACGGTTATAAAAAATCAAATTTGTAGTCAAAAGTCGTTAATTTGAGAATATGGAAAGTAATTGTTTTTAACATGAACTTGTCACTTCTAAACAGAAATTGTTGTTATTCTAGTTGTGTGTTTGGTAATGAAATCAACTACGGTATTAAAACGTAGGCAGACAAAATTTATGGTCAAAGTTGACCTACCGACTAATGCCACTATTGGCCTTGCACTTAACGCGGGAGCAACCAGCAGGCTCAGGGACAACACAGCGTTCATCACGGAAAACGCCATAGCAGCTCACACTAAACACCTGAAAACAGAAACATTCATTATGATAGCAAAATGGGAAGACAACTTCATTATTCGCTCTAAAATGACATTTTGGTAAAATAAATAAATAAATAAATAAATAATCATTAAAAAATGTGAACCTCCCTCCCCCACACCCAAACGGAAAAAAATAAAATAAATCATAAATAACCGCCACCACTCAAATTCTTAAGTTAAAGATAATATTGTAAAACTTCTCTTTCACATTACGTCAAGGCGACTGTAAAATGAAGCCCAAAAGAAAGTGTAAAACTCGGGTGTGTATGCCCGTGCGGTAGCTCATGGAGGACTGCTGTTTATTTTTTACTTTTGACTTTTGGCTTTTATTATTTGAAAAAGGCACGACAAACTGAAACACAGCAGGACACTGTAACCTGGGAAATAAGTGGCTTGCTCAAGGAAACACTCCAGTGATTCCCTTCTCTCTCTCTCGCTCTCGCTCTCTCTCTCTCTCTCTCTCTCTCTCTCTCTCTCTCTCTCTCTCTCTCTCTCTCTCTCTCTCTCTCTCTCTCTATCTCTCTCCCAATCTATATATCTCTCTCTATCTATCTATCTATCTATCTATCTATCTATCTATCTCTCTCTCACACACACACACACACACACACAAACACACACACAAACACACACACACACACACACACACACACTCACACACACATCATCATCATCATCATCATCATCATCATCATCATCATCATCATCATCACCATCATCATTCTCATCATAACCAGCATCATCATCATGATCATAATCTCATGCATCTAATAAGACGCTGTGTCATTGGGGGGGGGGGCAACTTTACTTAAATTATTACTTCTTACTGTTCACCCAGATACTAAAGGGTACTAGTTAAACGTAATTACTGTGTCAGAGAAGATAACCACATGTACTTTGGCCTTATATTAATAAAGTAAAGGTATCTGTCTACGTGATATACCTGTCGCTGGTGAGCTGTTTTCAGATTTCTGAACGCCCGAGTGGTTTTGTAACTGCATGCGTGTTACATGTTTTGTCTTTTTTGAGACATTACATTTGATCCATTTGGCTTTCCAAAAGTGTTATTACTAAGTTGTGTGAGTGCAATGATGCGCGCGTGCACGCGCGTGTGGGTGTGTGTCTGTGTGTGTGTGTGTGTGTGTGTGTGTGTGTGTGTGTGTGTGTGAGAGAGAGAGAGAGAGAGAGAGAGAGAGAGAGGGGGAGGGCTTAACTATAGGTTTAAGATTTGACTTTCGCATCGTGTTGATCTGCATTATGATACCGTTCATCAATGTACGCATGAATTCGGATACTAGCCTACTATAAGGCACGTTTTCAATATTGCAGCACGACTGAAATCTAAGTTCTGGTAAGGGGATAATATGACACTTTAATGTCAATGTAGCCACTACTCTTTATCAATTAAAAAAAAATGAAAAATATAGAAGTCTAGCATAAAAAAGTCTATTTTTACTAAAGTACTGACTGGTGGAGAGACGTATAAAGTCACAGACAGAAAGATAGGTAATTTAGGATGAGACTAGAAAGAACATGGGATGACGTCGATACATCTAAATGACCATAAATATTCATGGCGGCATTTCGTTCTGCTCTGCCTTTCCGTTGCCACAGAAACGCCTTTCTCACGAATTCCATTAACATTATAACAGCCCAAACTAGAGGCGGGGG